ATTTATTTATTTGAGAGAGAGCGAGAAAGAACGTGAGCAGGAGGGGCAGAGGGAGAGGGAGAGAGAGAATCACAAGCAGACTCTGCGCTGAGTGCAGAGCCCCACTCGGGACTCGATCCCACAACCCTGAGATCATGACCTGAGCTGAAAGCAAGATTCGGACGTTCAACCCGCTGAGCCGGCCAGGTGCCCCCACGCGTCCCTCTTAATCTTTAAACTGTACTATTGACCACATCTCTGCCCACCTTCTCGGAAATGCCAGTCACTCAAATATCTCCTTTTCTCTCGTCTCTCCTTCTGTATGACCGTCAGTGTATAAAAATCCTCAGGGGTCTCCCATTTCAGGCCAACTCACCGCCCTCCCCAAGCCTCCCTCCCGCCCCCTGGGGACCTGCTCCTCCACCGTCGGCCTCCCTGAAGGAGCGGCCTGCTCTTACTCCTCGGCTGCATCGCTCCTGCTCATTCAGCCGGCCGTGGTCACCGAAACTGCCACCCACCCCCCGACGTCACCCCTGCTGCGTGGCCTGGGCAGGAGGGGGCTTTTTTAAAGGTCCCAGGTGATTCTAATGTGCAACCATGGCTGAGAACCAGTGTTTGGGGGCCAGGAATAAACAGTCAGGTTTTCCATTCATTACTGAGTTAGTTTGGAGGTTACAGATTTGAGAAATCTAGTCCATTTTATCAAAGCTGTTTATAATGTTGTTCTCTCTCTTACTGTCTTTTCAGTCTCTGTTTTTTTTTTTCCTGTGTGTTCTTCTGTCAGCAGTAGGATGTAATGTGAAGAGGGGGGCCCTCTGGAGCCAGGTTGGTCCGGGCTAGAATTCCGGCTCTACCCCTTAGTGGCTTGATGGCTTCGCATGGGTTCTTTAAGCTAACTGTACCTCAGTTTCCTCACCTGTGAAGTGGGGACAAGAATAATACATATTTCCAAGGGCTGATTTGAGGGCTAAATTAATATGTAGAGTGCTTAGAACATGACTAAAATGCAGATTTAATTCTATTAGCAGTATTAAGCTAATCACTAGGCTACTCACGGGTTAATGTGCTATCGGTTTTACTTAACCGAGGTGTATAAACACTTAACAAGGGAATGGTTCTATCGGCAGGAATTTCCAATTGTCTGGCAGGGCATATAAACTGAGAGAGCCAAATGCCATTGCTTTGGAACCAGCCTATAGTTTAAATGAAGCATAATAAACTGTGGCAAAATCCACTCTAGACTTTAATTATCACAAAATTAAATTATTGAAATTAAGAGATACATAAAACATATTTATCCATAATCTCATTACTCAAATGAAGACTTGATTTCGTTTTTCCGTACTTCACCCCTTCTCTCTACACTAGGGGTTGGCAGGCTATGGCCCAGGGACCAATTCTAGCTTGCCATCTGTTTTTGTAGATAAAGTTTCATTAGAACACAACAATTCTCATTAGCTTACATATTGCTTAGGACTGCTTTCCTGTTACCATGGCAGAGCTGAATAGTCATGACTGAGACCAATAGGGTCTGTAGGGCCTAAAATATTTCCTATCTTGCCCTTTACACAAAAGCTTGCTAACCTCTGCCCTAGATGAAGACACATTTTGTCTTATTCTAATAAAAACATATGTACAATTTATGTCCTGCTTTGTTCTCTTAGCATTCTATAATAAACACAGGTCCCCTGTTTGGAAAATAAATACAAAATGGTCTGAATTTGCATATTGTCTCTAAGAATAAATTCTGAGGCAAAACCATAGACGTCTATCTCCTGGTGGCAAGTTTCACACCCATACTTTTTAGTTCCAAGGGAAGACAAAGAAAAATAATGTCGGTTTCTACTCAGTCTCCTCAAAAGAGACTTCTACGATTTGACTATTGATCCCCAAATAATATTAAATATTCAACCTTTTAACTCTTTTATCACCTCCCTTCTTACCATCTACTTCCTCCCACGAGCTCCAATTGCTCCAGAAACTCTGCTCGGGGGTCTTGGCATCATCCTCCGCACTCCTCATTCTTATAAAATGTCTCGCACATTCCAAGGGGAGCTTGGATTCCCAGCTCCAGTGCAGAACTTGGTTCCACTTCACAGTGGTGCTATAGTTCTCCTAGAAAGAAAGAGAAAAACATGGAAACATGGAGCCATGCCATCCTGGAAAATGGCTTGACTAGAGTTACCCCAAAGCACACACCTGGGAGCCCACTGCAGCTCCCAAATATGAGCAAGTGCGGTGCATCCCTAACCAGCCAGTTCCCCCCGGTTTGATGTCACAGCAGGACCTGCCACGGCCTCCTGCCTTTTGAAAGCTCATCTCCCACCCCTACAGTTCTCTGATTCCAGGGGGCTTGTGGGGAGCAAGTGAGAGAAAACTGAAGCTACTCAAGTCTTGGGGGGAAGAAATCAGAGTCAGAAGGTAGGCACAGGACTCGTCACACAGAGCCTGCTAAGAAAATTTCTGCAAACTAGATAATTAATTGAGTCATTCTTTAAAAATAAGCAAGACTGAGGAGTATTTTTTTTTTTTTTTTCCTTTTTTTTTTCCTTTTATGAGAGAGAGACAGCATGAGCGGGGGGGAGGGTCGACTGAGGAGTATTTTCTTAATAATCATTTTTAGCCATGGCCAGATCAAGTTGGTCAAATCTCATTAGAGAGGGCAGTCCTTCATGGTACCCAGGAGGACCAGTGGCTCTCAGAAGCCAGTAGAAGGATTCCATAAGGCCCTTGGGCTTTGTTTTCTGTTTGGTTTGGTTTGGTCTCTTATCTTTGCAGATATGGTGGCCAAGGGGCCATATTCTCTTCTTTGAGCTCCACCTGTTAGAATCTGTAGTCCCAAAAGAGGTCAAGCACACAAGAACGTCTTACACTGTGCTCTTGGGAAGCTTGTCCAAGTTGAACTGCAACTGGTCTTCCCTCACAGCATTTTTTTTTTTTTTTAAGATTTACTTTAGAGAGAGAGAAGGACAGAGTGTGCGAGTAGGGGAGGGGCAGAAGGAGAGTGTGGAGCCCGACCTGGGGCTCGATCTCAAGACCATGAGATCATGACCCGAGCCTAAATCAAGAGTCAGATGCTTAATCGACTGAGCCACCCAGGCACCCTTCCACACAGCCTTTCATCTTGATCTTTCTAAAGTTCTGGTATTTTCTTTCTCGAATTCAGTAGGCTTCAATGGCTCCTTTACACCTTACCCTGTCAGCCATCTACATTCTGACTCCAACCCACCTCTCACTCACAGCAATCTCCTCTCTGGACACAGTGGTCTACCTCGCACTTGGGGAATAGCTTTACGCCTTTACACCTCAGTGTTGACTCACACAGTGTCCCTGGCTTAGTGTCCCCACACTTCCTCTGCACTGGGAATTCGTCCAGGCCACACCCATCTCCGCCTCCTGCACACTGGGCGTAGCCGTTGGCATTTCATCTGTGGTTGGGGTGTGTCCCTGGCTGGAGCATGGCCCCAAAAGAACGGGGACTGGGCGTCATTCTTCTTCACGTCCTGCCTGGCTCCAGGCACTCAGGCTCCTTGGTGGGCCCCTCCAGGACATGTGCTTTCTGCCTGCACCGCTGGGGGCAGAAATACCAGCAAACCAACCAACCAACCAACCCAGAAACTGTATCAATAATGGCGACCTTACTGTCAACAAGCCACAGTCTGGGTTTTATCTCTTGCATCTCTCTGGAATTTAACCACTTTTGTCATCCCCCAGTGTCACCAGCCACTCCGGGCCCCTCTCCACTGGACCCACCCCATAGCCCCCTTCATACTGGTAATGATTTGCCTTCTCCAACTTCCCCACCTGTTCTCCACTGTGAGCCAGAGGGGACTTTTCAAACACTTCCAACCAGATCCTGTCCTTCCTCTTCTTTTTATGGCTCTCAGGATAAAACAGAAAACTGAGCATGACCTCCGGCGTCCTGTGTGGTCCATCCTGGGGCCATGCCTGCCTCTCTGTACTCCAGACTTTCAGGCCTGGGAGCTCACAGCCCTTCCCTCGGGGCCTCAGCTCACATCTGTGGGCTCTTCCCAGAATATTCTTCTCCACCCTCCCTTCTAAATTAGCTTCTAATCCTCTTTCTTATTTTGGCTCAAACAGTGCTTCTTCTTAAGTTGCTGGAGAAGGTCCAACCTTATCGCAAGCCCACAACACCTTGTCAGCAACCAGCACTGCACGTCCCACATTTGGGACACTCTCGTCTGTGTGTTGTATCTCCTCATTCCTGCTCAGCACTGACAGACCTACGCCTTGAATAATGGCTGCACCCAGGCTCCCAGTCTCAAACTATGAGCTCAATGATTCCATCAGTTCATTAATAGGCAGCGGGCTCTATTTTTCTCAGACACTACTTGTGTGTTTTCTGTCTAACCACAAACTTGTGCTTTGTGCTGTTCACAGCCTTGTCATGGAGGAGATAAAACTTTCCTTGAATGCATCAATTCAGTGATTTTTTTTAATGTGATGAATTATGTTTGGGCTGTTTTCATTCACTGAAGTGGCAAGTTTCATTTGGCAGACACTAGTAAGTCACAAGAAGTTGGCACCTCCATCTCTACAGAAGTCCAAGTGAGGTCACTGATTCGTTCCTCAGGCGAGCACAGATCCCTGGCAGACTCGGCTCCTGGCCTCCTTCCGGGCCTGAGATATTACTCCACTCTGCCTCCTCCGGCCACGAACAGGATGAGGAAGCAAGTGGCTGGACAGGCCGAGGGCAGAACCGGGCCCAGGTGAGGCCATGTGGTGCGGGCAGGCGGGCAGGTGGGCAGGCGGGGGGCTACCAGCAGGCCTCTGTGTGGCCCGTGCCGTCTGGGAGGTGGCTCAGGGTCCCCAGCCTGGCTGCAAGCACTTGGACCAGGATGCTCCTCCTTGGCTTGTTTAGGCACATGATCATCTGAGGCAGGAGTCCTGAAAGCTGCCCCTTCTCAGCATGCATGAAAGTGCGCTGTCAGCTTTGCATTACGGGGAACTGCCTTGTGACAGGGACATTGTGCTCTAGACAGAAGCAGGCCCCCTTGGCTGGCTTTCTTCCCCTTAACTGGAGGGGGATCTCACGTCTCTCCTTGACTTTAGGCCTGGGAAGGTCAGACAAGGGCTTCTCATGGTATCATCTGTTCTGGGAGGCATGGCCACTGATGACCTGTGGCCGTCAACCCTGTCTGGGCATGTGGGTGAAGGAGGATACCGTCCTGGTTGGCGACCTTGACTAGCACAACCCCCCTCTCTGTGCCTTGCGTTTCTCCTCTCCCCAGTCAGGCTGGGCCAGGTGATATGGGGACAATACACTGGACAAGGCAAAACTCTAGTCACAAAGATCTTGAACCTTAGGAGGTTACAGAAGCAGGTTTCCCAAGCTGCTCCACCCTGAAAAAAGAACTCTTACATGAATCAAAGGTGAAAACAGATACGAACAACTGCCTGTTAGAAAAATAAACAATGGGATCCACTTGGTCTAGGGTTAGCGTTACTTCTGCTAATGGTGTTAAGTACTAGTTTTTCATGAATTCTTCCAGCATTTTTCTCAAACTTCTTTTTCTTAGACAACTAGCCTCAATATGACCTTTGTGCAATATTTTATTGGGTCCAAATCAACAACCAGTGAGTGCATCCATCAAAAATATCAAAATATGGGGGCACCTGGGTGGCTCAGTTGGCTAAGTGTCTGACTCTTGATTTCAGCTCAGGTCATGATCTCAGGGTCATGAGATTGAGCCCTGCATCAGGCTCCGCACTGGGCATGTAGTCTGCTTGGGACTCTCTCTCTCCCTCTGCCCCGCCCCTGCTCACTTGCATGTACTCTCTGTCTCTTCTCTTAAAAAAAAAAAAAAAAAATGTAAGTACAAAATGATTAGTATGAGTTCCAGTAGTGGGTAGATGTGCTGGTGGTGGAAAGTGAACAGCTGTACATGAGCAATGCTATTGCTTAAAATCAGAACACTAAACAACTCCCACTGTGGGAAACGACTCTTGGCTGAGTGGAATGGTAGATCTGGCATCAATCCTAAATTGACAGAGTCAGAGTTATACTTACTTTAGGCCTCTCACTCAGATCTCAAATGCAATCATGAATATGGAAAGTAACTGGAGGCTTCAAAATGAGTAGCATTTATACTTTACTAAAGGAACTAACCATTCTGAATCCCTGTGCCCACGCTTCCAGTGCCTGAGAGAAAAGTGGTCTTTGGTTGAACAAATGGAGGTCCCCAGCAGTGACACATCCCCATGTTTCCTTCACACCAGACAAATTCTCTGTTCCCCTTCAATGAGAAAACATTCCACAGTGTTGTCCTTCAACATCCCGTGATAATGAATGAACATGATGTGTGGGTAGATTATTAAGGCTCCCCAGACCATAAGATGGAAATTGAAAGAAACCACCACAGTGTCTCAATGCATGAGATGGAGAAGCATCAACTAAATGGACACAACCGTGGTTTGAACTAAGACAAGTGAAAAATCTATCCTGAAGAATTCAAAGGCAAAATGATTGGGAAATGAAGGGTTTTCATTATTTAATTTGCTGTAGAAAAAGCCACAAGAGAGGCAGCAAAGGACATCTTAATTTACTCCCCACCATGGTGGGGCCAGGAAGAACCTCTTTGCTGGACAGAACCCACAGGGCTTAGATGCAACCTTCCTTGTATTTCAGCATGGTATGAAACACAAGGTAAGAAACGGACAGGAAGCCACACCAGCAAGAAGAATGTTGCCAAACAATTACATCTTATTTATTAGGAAAATGTCTGGTGGACAGGGAAGAAAGAGGGAAGAGAAAAAATAAGGTTGGTGTTCATGGATTTTGGGAATCTAGGACTCAAGGACAGGCCCAGTAGCCTGCTTAGAGGATAGAGCAGAAATGAGGAAATGATCTATTTCCTTAACACATCTCATCCAACCTACTGAACCAAAGCTGTCATGTTACTTGGTCCCATAAAAACACAGGAATGTAATTGTTTTGGAAAACCATTTTGAGTTGCTAAAATGTTTCTATATTGGGATTTTTGTGGATGTTATAAAAGAAAAATCATGGTGTCAGAAAAGGATTTTTAAATGTTGAGCCAAAAAAAAAAAAAAAAAACTTACCACCCAGATGACATTCGATGTTTTAATTCTACTGATTTCTATCTGAAAAACCATTTTTAATTCCTGATGATGAGCAAGGTTCTGGACACTCCACTGTAAATGCAAACACTGATGTGTAGAATTGATAAAAACTTTCAGGGATTCAGGGGCCCATGGCAAAGGTTCAGACAAGACTGAAAGACCAAAAACAAGATATGAAATAACATTTAATAGGAACACAACTGAATAGTCACAGATAATAAACTGGTCAATATCACCACTGTTTAGTTTTGGAAAATAATGCTCACATGTGCGTCTTAGAATTAGACATCTTGGAAGTCTGCAAGGAAATTCAGAAATCACTTGGTAGATAAATTAAGGCCTAAATAAGTGAAATGACTTGCTCAACAATACACTGTGTATTGTTGTTATTAATAAATTGATAAACAGTAAAATAAAACAAAAGGATACTTTATTGGATGATCTAACTGGTTTAGAAATTTCTAGTAAGGCTATATAAAGATGACTCTTGCCTATAAACTTCATATTTCTGGAAATCGAAAATGAGTTTTCTGCTTAAAAGTCAATATTTCATAGTTTACTAAATAACTATAAAGTGGGAGCATACCCTATCTCTAGACATGATTGCTAATATCTCAATGCACTAAACTTAAAAGACCTCTGGCGAGAATTTACTGAAGTCTGTGGATGAGACCAGCAAGGCACTTAGTGTGAAATAAAATAATTGTGATGATGTTCTTAGCTCAAGGAAGGACCCCAGCTGGAGAGACACAGGGACTCAGAATAGGTAAATCCATAGAGGGATAAAGAAAATTGGTGATTGCTGGGGGCTGAGGAGAGGAACAATTGGGAGGAAGTGCTTCATGATTACAGGGTTTCCTTTTGGGGTGATAAAAATGCTTTGGAAGTACACAGAAGTGCTGGTTGCATATTCTGAATATACCAAATGTCATTGATTTGTTCATTTTAATCATAAAATGATTAATTTTATGTTATGTGAATTTCCCCTCAATAAAAATTTTTTTTACATATACGTGATCATGATCAAAATGTTCAAATGATACAGAAACTGAGAACCCATCATCCTACCAACTCATTCTCTCTCCATTGCCAAGTTTAAATCACATGTTTTTCTCGACGTTTTCCATACACTTAAAAAAACAAAACAAAACAGGGGCGCCTGGGCGGCTCAGTTGGTTAAGCGACTGCCTTTGGCTCAGGTCATGATCATGGAGTCCCGGGATCGAGTCCCGCATCGGGCTCCCTGCTCAGCAGGGAGTCTGCTTCTCCCTCTGACCCTCCCCCGTCTCATGCTCTCTCTCTCTATCTCATTCTCTCTCTCAAATAAATAAATAAAAAATCTTAAAAAAAAAACAAAACACTAGACTGTGCATTCCATTTTATATTTTTTAAAGTACTTAGGTTATTTTTAAGAAAGCTATAAAGGGAAGTAAAACTATAATGTTACTACTCATTATTTCTGGATGGCGAGGCTGAGTTTTTTTATACTTTTTTAAACTTTTATACTTTTCTTATACTTTTCTGTATTTTGTAAATGTTCTTCAGAAACAATGCATTATTTTCAGAACCCTATGATATGCTAGATTTTATAAGAAATAGTCTTCTAAGATACCTGGTGCACTCCACTGTGATGATACTTCAAAATGCATAATTTAGTTTTCGGGGTCAATTTGCACCAAAAGGCTGAGGACCAGTTATTTTTCCAGTTTTATTTCCCACTGAAACTTAATCAATTGGCATACTGAGTCCTGTTTTTTTTGTTCTTTGTTTTGTTTTTTTTTTTGGCATTCTGATTCTTAATGCGCTTTGGCAGAGTGAATCATTTATCAGACACCATTCATACAAAGTTAAATGAAGTTGGAATTTCTGAACACTCAAAGCCCAAAACATGGTAGTCACTTTCTATTATTATTTGGTTAGAGATTTTTCTTCTCCTTTGTGAATAAAATTTCTCAACTCTTTGGTTAAAGACAATAGCCATTATTCATCCTCTCCTTAAACCAGTCAGGAGGTTTGGGTGAGTCTTCCAAGCCTAAGATGTAAGTTAACTAAAGGAGGTTTAGGGAAATGTAAAGTTAACTAAAAGGAGGTTTAGGGAAATGAAAGAGCAGATCCTTTATGGAATAGGAGGAAATGTTTTTAATAACTAATAAGAACCAATAGCACAGAGAAGGCCAAGTGCCTGCAAAATCATCCCGGCTCTCCTTGCCCTCATTCCATTTTGTCTAGATAGTAATTTGATGCTGTCGGTCTCACACTCTAGATGAAAAACTTCCTGGAGGGCAGAGGCTGAGGCAGAGACAACTTTGAAAGGACTCTTGTCCCCAGCACTTGGCACAACCACTTCCCCACAGCAGATGTTGACCTCAAATTACACGGACCCAGGATCTCCACAAGTTCTCAAGAACACGACAAGCAATAGCTCACTAACATCTCTCCTCATCCTTCGCATTCTCTTCTCCCCAGGGCTGCTTTTCTAAGCTCTGTTTGAGCACTGATCACAGCGTGTTGTAATAACCTGGTCTGGGTTTGTCTCCCGGAGGACTGTGAGCTAAACAAGGGTGAAACCAAGTCCAATAACACACCTGTCACAGTGTAGACACCCAGTGACTGCTTGCTAAATGAATGAGTCAACTACCAGAATCGACTTTATTTCTGGAAGCTCGGGAAAGCTACCGTGTGATGCTTTAGGTAAAAGAGGAATTCTATATTGACGTATGCTATCAGCGAGTGTTGAGTGACTCAGGTAGTTGGGAGAGACATCACTCAGAAATAATCTGGTCAAAAGCAAAGGACTTCCTTTGAGGACTTCCTTGGGAAATAGTGAGAAATGTCAAGGTAAAGTCAGAGAGATTAAGGGACCTCACAGATTCAAAGTCCAACCCCATCAGTTTTCAGATGAGGAAACGGAGTTTAAAAAAAAGGAAGTGACTTTCCCAAGTGCACACTACCAGACCAGAACCCCGGGTTCTTGGCCCTGGCCCAGCTCTCTTTTTATAGGGAGGAGTGGGTGATCAGACAGCCCGGGGTTTAATCACAGACTCTCTTCCCACTTCCCTCACCCAGGCTCTCTGTCGGGCCCCAACACTACTTAAAAAAATAAACCGCAGTTCATTTATAAGTTGGGACATCACACAGCCATTAAATAGAAGGTTATTTCTAAAAGAACATTTGAGATCAAAGGTAAAAACCTTCGCCATATGTTGTATTGTTTTAAAAAGTATATATTAAAGTATACATACTAAAATATGCATACTTCACCTGCATATAGTTTTATATTTACATATTATAGTATAATTTCCCAGTATATATATTTACACTATATACAACATACATACTTTAAACTATAGTTTAATAGGTACATATACAGTATAAATATTCCCAGTATATATAGTATACTTCCACTTCTATAAAAAAATCTGCCTATTTACATCTCTGTCTTGGTCTGCATGTACTTACACAAGAAAACGGAAGAAAACACAACCAAATGCTATAGTCACGATCTCTGACGAAAGCAGTTATGAGCCCAGTGCTAACTGAAAGTGAGTCTGGACTCTGTCTCATTGGTCGGGAGAAGCCAGGACATCTGAATCTGAGTCTCAGCCCTGAGCCTGGGTGGGTCATCAGGTGAGGGGCCCACTCTTTTGAGTGGAGGTTTAGCAGGTATTTGGCAGATACAGCAAACATTGAGACAAGAAATCCAAGTGGTGTGAGGACAAAGACAGGATTACTTGGCAAAGCAGCCATGCTTAGCTGAGAAAACTGGAAGCAAAAACAAAGACTGGTAGAGAGAGAAGCAGGTAATGAATGTCTGATCTAAATAAAAGAAGCTGAATGGGTACATTCTTCACTGGAACTTCTGAGAACAGAGTGTCTTGTACGTAGAAGGTACACAGTCAATCAATCGTCATTGGGTCAGATAATGAGACTTTACTAGGGAAGTGAGCTGTGCTAAAAGCTTGGCAGTAATACCTAGGGTCTTCTGGAGAGCCTGGAGCTGGGGGAATGGGTCTGAGAATCAGGGGCTCTAGCTGGACCTAACCTTCCTATGGTACGGACCACCCCCTCAGCCCAGCTGGGTCACGTTTAGCAAGTAAGATAGATAGGGTGGGGGGTACACATACTACAGATGAGAAGTCCTAATTTCCATCTTTCAGCTCCAGATTATGGAAGGTTATCAACAAACTACAAATTTTAAGAAGCCAAAAAAGTAGCATCATCTCATGTGCCCGGAACCTAAAAGAAACAGACCCAGACTTAAAGAACACCAGGCAGAGAACTGAGCTATTAACAGAACAAAATCTCCTTTTTATTTCCAAGTATCTTTTCACAGAGTTTTAAGGGGAGCAGAAAAATTCTATGGGTATTTCTTGTAAACATCACTTTCACGAATCCATGGAAAGGAATTGTGAGAAGAATTATGAGAGCATATGCCCACACTCTCTGTTACAAAGGAAGTACAGCAAAGAATCAACACAGAATGAGGAAAATGTAAAGCTTTGTTAAACACAGGTGAGAGCAACACAAACTTTATAAACCAATAGACTCCAGCCTGAGTACCTTCAAACTGGTTCAAAGTAATACACAAAGTCATTATAAACATTTTACAACTGTTCTTATTGACACTATTTACAAAGATGACTTATTGAAAAATACCCTCACTGGGAGAGTAGCTAAGTGACAAATACTATTTCTTTTTCCCATAAACCACATTTCAGTACTTGGCATATTGTCTTAGAGCAAATCGCTTCTCAATGAATGTCGTTGAAGGACATCACAACTTGTTCAAACCTAGTGGCCAACTCTGGTCTGGTATTCCTCAACCCTACACGGCAAGATGCAGACCGAACTCCTCTGGAGACGGCCACTCACAACATATCTACCAAGAAGTTCTGCGGGATTAGATCCACTCACGGGTGCCCTGATGACCAGGGCACTGGCCAGGAAATGAGAGCTAAGGTGTGGCTTTATTACAATGAGCTATCAAGAAGTCAAAACTAAGGAAGCCATTGCTACTCACCAATTCCAAGTAATTTCCAAAGAAAAGACTTGTGCAACTTTCCTCCCAGAGCACCAATCACCTTGTTTTTTTTCCTCTGTGTGATTTTTTTTCTTTACTGTTCTTCCCACTACTCACCTTCACTCTGGTAAGTTCTCAAGGACAGCAATGCCAAGAGGAATGTTGTCTGAAAGACTGAAAAGAGAGCCATAGGTTCTGGATTTCTGAAAAAGATAAATTACACAGAAGGAACATTTTATTTAATTTTAGCTCTGAGCAGGTGTCTTTGACCCCATTGTGGCAGACAATGGTATTAAGGGCTCCCATTCTTCTCTCCTTCTTCTTCGTCCCCCCCTGCCTCCCAAACTAAGAGTATATCTCCCTGCTCCAGGTGACTTGCAGAGGCAGAAGCCATGGTGTACCCACTTGGAGCCTAGGCCTCAAAGGACCCTGTATAATTCTGCTTGCTCCTTTGTGTTTCCACCTTTGGCATGAAAAGAGCATTTCTGGGCTACCCTCCAGGAGGAAAAGGAGCAACAGGGGAGGCAGCACTGAGTCACCATGGCTGCCCCCCTGGGGGCAGCCTAGGTCAGCCAGCAGCCGGCCAAGAGCGCCCAATACCAGATGTGGGAGCCATGAATGCCCACTGCTGCGTGCTGCAGAGGCCGTGGGGCAACAGAGAAGTGGCCTACCAATTTCTTCAAACCAAGCGAAGGTTGGAAAAGAAAGATAAAGCAAAGAAACAGAAGTGAAACATAAAAAAGTGGACCATGGTCTCAGAAGAGATAAATCTGAATGAATTACTTATAGAGGAGTCACCCTCACTCTTCCGTCTCCCTCATTAAAATTTCACCGAGGAAAACCCAGCACATTCCACCTAAAGAGTTAGGCAGTGTTTCATTGTTCAAGATAATTTCCGGTTTTCCTCACTTTAGAGGAGGGTTGTAAACGGCAGGTCAAAGAGCTTCACTGATTCATCGGGGTTTTTGGCCACAGGACAATCTGAGGGCACAAAGAGTGAACCTAGATGACCTCAAGGAGGCTAATTCGTTCTTAATTTAATACTAAGTATGTTAGTCAAGGGAAGCCCTGAGTTTCACTTTTCTACTTCAAAGTCTGACTCATCCCATTGACAGGCAATGAAACCATTCAGAGCCCATTTTGCCTCTGTCCAGCCACCCGGACTTCATCAAAAGCCAGAAATTCAGTGAACCAGATCATCCCTTTTCACTGCCCACCACTAACTGGGAACAACAGTGAAGACAGAAAAAGAATACACCCAGCCATTAAATTATCCTGCGGTAGTCAAATCTGCTTACACACGGGCCCAACTGCCAGCAGAAGCAAAAGTCTGCAAACGACCTTTTACTCATAGCCCTTTAAGCCTGCTTTCCACTACTTCCATTTTTGCCAAACAGGCCCCTCATACCTCTCTAAAATCTCTACTTACAACTTCAGATAGGCTCCTATTACAACGAAATATCGAAGCCAGGGAGAAAATGAATTCAAGAGAAAATCGTTTCTGCTCAGAACCAAAGGCAAGGCAAAGGAAATGCCAACATGAAGGGGGTGACTCTCAGCGTGCAAGTGAGCCGTCCTTCCAATCCTAGTCTGTGGGTACAGGATCCTATCCTAACACCGACTTTTCTTGAGGAGCGCAAGGTGCCTCTCTGTAAGGAAATCTCATCCTGTAAATTGAAAAGCAGATGACTTGGGGAGTGATGTAGGGGGCCTCGTGTTCTCTGTAGGAAAGGGCTACTTAAAATGTTTTTCAAATTTTGGAGTTTAAGTAAATCTCACATGTCGCAAACTTTAAACAAATGTATGGGGACAGAGAAACTTAAAACTACAAGTTAGAAGCCACCTATGAATTAAGGGTAACCAGAAATTAAAGAATAAAAGTTGTCACGTAACAAAATCGAAAAATAGGAGTCCTTACAAAGGACTTGTTTCTATGGTCTGGGGATCACAGGAGAGTCCCTGAGGAGCATCGGGACAGTCTTGTCTGGAAGTCCCAACCTTCCCCACCTCCTCCCACTCAGCAGGTTGTGAATCTGAAGAGGTTAGCTTCAGAATGAGTCAGCAGCTGGAAGAACGTTCTGGAGACACGCGTGTCAGCCTTTGGGAAATGCTGCATGAACAGTTCTCCTGATGACCCCGAGCCTGATGCCTTGGGAAGAACACAGCCACCAAGGGCTCTGAGCCAGCTGCTTCCAAGGCCCAGGAGACTGACCGCACCGCCCCTCCCCTGTAAATGGGCCTCTCGTTACCCCGCGCCCTATTCTGAGGGTACCAGCTCTTTGCTGGTGAGCTCCCCACGAGCACAGTGAAGGACCTGGGGGTGAGGGGGCAAGTTGCGCCAAGGCCCCGAGGCAAAGCGGGAGAGTGCGGGGCTTATTCAAGGAACAACAGGAACTGGTGCTGCAGGGGGCAAGGAGGTGATGGCACTGGAAGTGGGAGCAGTGGTGGAATTCAGGAGAGATCTGACAGAGCCGGCAGGACGTGACATGGGGTGGCAGACGAAGCCATCACAGATGGCCCCCAAAATGGCCTGAGCCCTTGGCAGAATGGAAATTGCCCTTCAGAGGAAAGTAGAAGAACAGACGTCGTGGGCTCTAGCGAGGGCTAGACTGTTTGCAGCAAGCTCAATTTGAGATGCTGATTTGATGTCCAAGGGAGCTAGCGAGCCGGACACACACTTGGGAGTCCCTGGGAGGGGTCCTGGGAGGGGTCCTGGGAGGGGTTTAAATCAGCCTGGCTGCATACACAGAGCCTTTAAACCGCAGGCAACACGGGGCGCCTGGGCGGCTCAGTCGGTTACGCGTCTGCCTTCGGCTCAGGTCGTGGTCCCAGGGTCCTGGGATCGAGTCCTGCATCGGGCTCCCTGCTCAGCGGGGAGTCGGCTTCTCCCTCTGACCCTCCCCCCCACCATGCGCTCGCTCTCTCAAATAAATAAATAAAATCTTAAAAAAAAAATAAATAAGCCGCAGGGACCAGATGATGGCCTGGAGAGGCAGCGCAGACAGATGCGCGGGGTCCGCGGCCGAGACTGCGCCCCGCTCTGCAAATCCATGACATTCAGGACCAGGCTAGGCTTTCCTACAGCACCTGGAGGACAAGGGCCGAGTGCCGGAGGCGCTGTGAGCTCTTTCGGCCCGGTCTCCCAGGGAACTTAGGGGCTCCAAGCGGGGGCCGCTCTTCCTCCACAGCTCGGCCACCGCGCCCTCTCCCTCTGTCGTCAGGCTCTCTCTCCACAGCTGTCCCTAACGAGCATCGCCACTTCCGCGGTCCAGTAGGAAAAGGAAGGCAGGGGAGGATGAAGTGGCAGGATTCAGAAAGGCAAAACTACCTTCCCGCCTCGCCCACACTTCCCAGTCCTAAGCCCAACTCGGTTCTTTATTTCTATTTTTCAGATCTCCATCATTCCCAACCGGACGACGAGCTGCTTGAGGACAGGCCTGGATCTCAGTCCCCTCTGTCCATCACCGTCCCAGCACATAGTTGCTACCCAGTTAAGTATCTCGTAAATGAATAAAAATTTGTACCAAATTTTCTCACATTCTTTCTTCTTCGCTTTCAATTTTATTTTATTAAATAGATTCCTTTTCAGGCCCTTCCACTTTTTCTGTTGCCAAATACTGCCTAATTCATAGTGTTTCATTGACATGTCTTCTCTGGGGAGAAAAAGGGAGGCGAGAAAAGAAAAATTACCCACTCATTTTGTGGAACTTCCCATTCAGATCTCATCTCTGTGCCAAACGAAGACACAGTCGAATGTCCCTCGGTGCAAACACCACACGCACAACCAAAGACAACCTTTGCCACGGGTATAAGCCTGCCCTTCTTCACTAGCACTTCTCGTTCCGTCACTCCTAAAATATTTATTCCTGGGCAGTTTCCTCACCAGAAATAACCCCCTTGAGAAGCAACATGACCGGTCATTTGCTTCCCAAGAACATGGGTGTGTTGCCAGACGTTGCAGAATTGGCTAGGTGCCTCATGACATCATATGCAAATACTAGCTTAAAGAAAGAAGCTGTTCATCCGGGGACGTGTGCTGGGGTGTGTGCTCCCTGTGTGAGACTTCTGTGTGGCAGTGCAAAGGTCTGCATGTTCCCCACATTTCCCAGACCCATCTATTTTTATTTGTTTTTTATGAGCACTGCTATTTGTCTTTGGGGGCCCTTCCTGCCATTATAGCCTGGGATGGACCACCTGTTGGGCTTCACTCCAATCCACCACCCCCTTCCTCCTAAAGGAAGGTTCAAGCACACCTCCCCCTCTGTCTAAAACTACCCGGGTAAGTGCTTCTACCAGTTTTGTAAGGTCATCCCTTATTTCTGGGGCTGAATTGGCTTATGCACAGCTCACTTTCTTTTTCGTAAGCAGTATTCAGTTAAAGATTCCCGGACCTTGTGACTCCAGCTAGCATTTAAGCTGAGTCTCTCAGTGGTCAGGGAAACCAAAGAAAGGAAGAGAAAACCTCGATCTGAGGAATACTCTGGACCCAAAGAATATGTAGGAATTTAGTATATGCTAACAATAATATGGGGCGCCTGGGTGGCTCAGTCGTTAAGCGTCTGCCTTCGACTTAGGTCATGATCCCAGGGTCCTGGGATGCAGCCCCGCATCGGGCTCCCTGTTCCGCGGGAAGCCTGCTTCTCCTTTTTCCACTCCCCCTGCTTGTGTTCCCTCTCTCGCAATGTCTCTCTCTGTCAAATAAATAAACAAAATCTTTAAAAAAATAATATTTCAAATCACTGGAGAAGAGACAGATTATTCCCTGGAACAATAACCTGGACATTTGCGGGAAAAGGAAGCCATAATAGTCAAGTTCCCCGGGGTTCTGATGTTAAGACTGCTGAGGGTCAAATCACTACTCTGGCACTTAATAATCTTATCAACATGGACAAGGCACTTTACCCACTTAGGCTTCAGTTTCTTTTCCTGTAAAATGAGAATAAAGAACCTACCTCATAGGACTGGCATGAGGATTAAATGAGATTATGAGAACCTATACCTAGAAAATCCAATTATTGTTAATTTTTATCATTATTGCTATTGCCCAACTCCCCTCAACAAAATAAATTCCAGATGAACAAAGGTATAAATACAAGTAAAAGGATCATTAAAATTACTAGAATATTTGTATAATCTGTTTTAGCATGATATGAAACCTAGAAGCAATAAAGATCGTACAACGATTAAATGAACATTGCAAAAATTTTAGTGCTATAATTGG